TTTGTCTAGGGATGTGACAGACATGGGATTTTCTCTAATGTTGATGACCTCTCCAGTCATGTGTATTTGGCTACATTTAGTGTACCACACATGAGTTCCCTCCCATTGAGTGTGCTTTACATCCAATTAGGTAGCTATTGATTACCCTCAAGACAAAAGTCCCACTACTGCCCCAATAGAGTTTGCTGTGCTGGTCATCGTTATGGTTATTAGGCCTTAACTTGGGGCTGGACCTTCAACTGATGTTCTCCCTTAGCAGCTTACGTAGTGTTATCCAGAAACTGTGAGAGCTAGCCTTCAGGGAGGTGGCTTACAGGTCAGTTCCAGCTCCATTGTTCCATGACCTGTGTCCAAAGTATGTCTTGTCTTTAGCAATAGGGTCTTACCTTCAAGTTCTGAAAGGCAATCAAGGGCTGTGGTAACAGCCTGTGTAAATTTGGGAGTCTCTTGGACTATCCTGGCCAACAACTCGAAGGAGATTTCTCCTGTTTGGCACTGTTTCTTGTTTTATAGCCAGACCTCAGCTATACAGAGACTCATGCAGAGATGTTGTATGTGTAATTTTTCAGTAGGGTTTTGAGCTAATATGATTCCCTCTGGTTTTTTACACCAACTGGGCATTATATATCTCTCCACTCTCTCTCCCTATCTAATCCTCCCTCCTCCTTCCCGTCCCCAGTTAAAGTACCTCCATTTTTCCCATTTCTCCCTTGATAATACCTGTCTCCCTCAGTCACCCCTCTCTTTAGCTCCTTCTTCTCATTTTCACCCACAGTTCCTTGCATAACCCTCCCTTAACCCTTCCCATTTAAATATCCATTTCCCTTTTTGTAACACCTGTCTCCTACTGTTCTCTTTCAGGTTCCTTCTTTCCCTTTACCTCCTTGTTTCCTTTTCATTTTCCTGGCTGTTGCTATTACAATAGGATGTCTACTAACATAAGTTTGGGTGGTAGGATCCACAAATGAGGGAGAATATATGTCACTTGTTTTTCTGAATCTGTGTTACTTCACTTAGTATAACAGTTTCTACTTCCATCTATTTACCTGCAAATTACATAATTACTTCTTTCTTCACCACTGAGTAGAACTCCATTGTCCAAACATACCACATTTTCATTATCCGCTCAGCTGAGGGACACCTTCATTATCCTCAGTCAGCTGAGGGATACTTAGATTGCTTCTTACGGCCATGTGACAGGACCTTGGATGGACTGAGACACTTAACCACACAAGACTAGGACTCCAAGGCAGAGTTCTGGGGAGTCCAAAGCCTCCTTCCTGTTATAGTAGCCTTGTAGGGCACTGAAACTTTGGACCCCACCTCCCCCATGGCCTTGGTAGTACTAGAAAGTTAAACATTGACTTTGTAAGACCTTGTAAAAATAATAGACTACTTCTGACTTTGGGTGGAGACATGATTTTCTGACCTGCTCCAAAGATTAGAATATTTCATGCTATTGTCTCCTTTCTTAAGAGTCAATCTAGTTGGGACTGTCAATCACCTGGCCTGGACCACCCTAAGAAAGGCAGATTCATTAAAGCCGTTCTAAAGAAAATGTCGGGAACAATTTTCGCCTGAGCAGGATAGCTTTATTTGTTCATTTCACATACCTGGGTAGAGGTATTCTAAATCAGGGGATTGCCTGTGGCCATGTCTGTGGGGCATTTTCTTAATTGTTGAGTGATGAAGGAGGGCCCAGCCCACTGTGGGTGGGTCCATCCCTGGGCAGATGGTCCTGTATTTGGGAGCAAGCCTGTAAGCAGCATTCCTCCAGGGCTTGTGCTTCAGCAACTGCCTCCAGCTTCCTGCCCTGGGTTCCTACTCAGAATTTGGGTTCCCTCAGTGATGACCTGTGAACCAGGAGCTGTAAGTCAAATAAAACCTTTCTTCCCCAAGTTGGTATTGGTCAGAGTATTTTGTCACAGCTATTGAAGGGAAACTAGAACATCCCCTAATGAGATCATGCATTTTTCCTCTCTAGAATCCTTGGCCTTGCTGCAGTCTTTTATGGAGCTTCTGCCTGTAGCTGATCAGTCTACCTGCTCTTCTGAGTTGTTCAGAAAAAGACTAACCCTTTACTTTTCTCCTTTCTAAATCTTTATCCAAAACATGGACATGTTTTCCATGACACTGGGCTTTCTCACTCTTTTTTTCTCTCTGAGGCTCCATCAATACCTGCCATGCGGCTGCTTGGTGAACATGCAGGACCCTAACTCTAAGAGCATCATTTCTCTCCTGCTCTTCTCCATTTCCCTATTTGGGGCAGCAAGTGAGATTTACAGTTTTTCTAGCCTCTTGTTTTTCTTAAACTCTAATGAAATTTTCCTCAAATTTCTTTGTGAATCTGTTTTAGAATTCTTGTATTAATGAGACTAAGAACTAGACAAAAAGGAATGCTCAATCTTCCGTAGAACACTCCTCTCCTTATAGGCTTTTAAGATTTCTGTTGCCACCTGAGCAGTCTCAGCCCTCAGCATTGCAGGTATAGCCTCTTTCTCTGCCCTTGGTCAGAATTGTTTGCACTCATAATATATAAGACAAATTAAATGAAGCAGGCTGATTTTGAACTTGCTGTGCTGTATGGAGCTCTATAACTGAGTCTCTTACACTAAATGCTTTCACAAAGTGTTTAATTTGCTTTAATAAAGTTCGTGAGCAAAAACTCATGTCAGAAGATACAAAAGACCATATTTTGTATGATTCTATTTTTTGCAAGCCAAATCAAATCCTTTTTAAACAAATTTAATTGACACATAGTAGTTGTACACATTCATGAGGTATGATGTGACCTTTCATTCATGCATATGATGTGAGTAATTAGTACATCCATCAACTCAGATAGCATTTCTTTGTGTGGATAATACTAAAGATCCTTCCTATTCCTTTTTCTGAAACATTTGATTAAGCTGGGCATGGTATGGCCTGTCTGTAATTCCAGTCCTTGGTGGAGGCAGAAGGAGCAGGAATGCAAAGGCAACCTCAGCTTCAGAGAGAGTTTGAGACAACCTAGGTTACCTGAAACAGAGGGAGAGGGAGCGGGAAAGGGAGAGTGAGGCAGCTCAAGTAATTGTTATGAACTATAGTTGTCCTTATTGTGCCATAGAACGCTAGCTACTGTTTGTCCTCTCCAACTCTGCCCTGGTTCAAATTCATATATATATATATATTTTTTTTAATTGAGCTTTGGTAATTTCACACAACAGCTCTTAATCAAATTTAGACGCTCCCCCATCCATGCCTCCCCCATCCCCCTACTGAATCTCATGTATTCCACCATGTTAAGTCCTAGTCATTCAGGCATTTGTACCTAAAAGTCCTTCAGTGTAAATGTGTCCACTGGAATCTGGACAGCCCATCTAGCGATCCTATGTAAATCATACTCTCCCTCATCCAGCAGCAATGAAATTCTTAAAGCCAAAAGAAACATGATGGGTACCAGGCTGGAGAGAGTGGTGAATGGGGAGTTAGTGTTTGGAGATGATGGAAAGCTCTGAGGTTGGATGGAGGTGATGATTGGGCAACAATTTGAACATCCATAACATCAGTGAATGCACACTTAAAAAGAGTTAATACAGTTTAAGTTATGAACAGTTTTCTATAGTTTTTAAAACTATTGAATAAATACATGTCTGAGCCCAATGCAGCCCATGTTACCTAACTCCAAAGCACACATGTATGAGCCCATGCCATGACACACTCTGCACTCCCCATGCTGTCCCGCCCTCATGTTCTTATGGCTCTCATGGTTGAATTTTAGTCAATTTATTTGTGATGAAATGCTCTGACAGCAGTGGCCCACACTCACACTCACTCCTTCTGCACACCCGCTGCTTCTCCACGTTTCTAAGCACAGGGCAGCATTGTGATGGGGTTTCCTGAATCCTTCCCAAGAGTGACTCCCACAAAGGCAAGGCAATGTCAGCAGAAAACTGAAAACATGGATTTGTATACAGAAGCTCGGGGGATAGCTATAGTGTAGGAATGGAAGAGGAGTTTGGAGGAAAGGGAGAAGGGGAATTGTGCTACAGGTCAACGAGAGCCCCAAGAGGAAGCCAGCCTTGATCAGCTTAGGCAGAAGGAGCCAAAACTGCATCATGCCTTTAACTTTCCTCTCCTTTACATCCTCTATTGACAATCAGACCCTAAAATAAGAATTTTGCGTATCATGACTAAAGTAACCAAATCATTTCCTTATTACCTGAGATTGACCATAAAAACTGAGACCTAACTAAATCACTCATGGGTACAGCATGTTTGAACATATAGGATGGAAGACAGGGAAAAATCTATCATTTCCTCAGTGATTATTTAGCTGTAGCTTTTCTTGACTGTAATCTTCAATGTACATGCTGCCTAATCTAAGCCCAGGACAACAGGGTTCCAACCTCTTTAGTGTTAGGGATAGGAGTTTTAAGCTGCGAACTGTCTCCCAGGTTGGGTTTCTGCACCAAAATGTTAGGAATTGGAGTGGAAAGATTCACAAGTGGAAACGAAAAGCAAGCAAGGTCAACAATCCAAATTGACCTTTATTAGTAGTCAATGAGGGATAACTACTGACCAACAGGAGTCTTCAATAGCCACACAGGTCAAACAGCAGGGGAGTTTAAGTGCATTTGTGTATGTAAAGAGAGTTTAATTAGAGACAGTTGCTTAAGACCTAGGACCCACACTTTTGGGTGAGGGTCTCAGAAGGGCTGGTCTGCAGAGCAGAGATTGCTTTATGGTTGAGGCTTATGGGCTTCTGGAGGGCCTTGTTTGCAAAGCAAGAATTGCTTTATGGTTTAGGGTTTAGCTCCCTTTATTTAGTTCACCGTTGTACATGCCCCTCAATCCTGCTGCCAGTTACACACACACACACACACACACACACACACACACACACACACACCCTCAGTCCAGCATTGCCTGGGCCAGGCACCCAATACAAGACGGTTCTCTATTTCAGAAACTGGAAAAACAAAATTGATTTTTTTTCAGTTTGAGGTCAGTCAATTGTGTAGCTTTCTGTCTCCTCCATTAAATGTTTATTTGCTTTATAGCACATATAATCAATACAAAGCATAATTAGTAAATTTTAAGCATACACATATTCAAATGCTTGCTCATCAAAATTTTTTTTTTACTAACCATTAGAGCTCTATAATCACAGACTATTAGCAGCTGTGGGAGAATGAAGCATTTCCTGGGGGAACCTAGGCTCCGTCAGCTTGGAGCACTGGGCCCATTAGAAGCACATTTACATTATCCAGCTGTTGACAACACAGGCTTTCCCTGGATCCTTCCGTTCTACCACAGAATAGGTGCAGTTATCCGGGTGGAATATTTTCTCACACTTGCTGCTGTCATAGTCCATAGGTATTGGAACACTGTCATTGAGGCAAGACAAAGTCTGTTAGAAGTGAAGAGACATAGATCCACCAACCCCACTGCTCAGACCCGCTCGGTGCAGGAAGTGGCCCATACTCCAGTTTCTTGGACTTCCTCAACTAACTTAAGTGTATTCCTCACTGAAAGCCTCAAAGTGTGGGCTCCAGGCATCCATACCTCTCTGTGTCACAGAGTCAAACAAAGCATTCCTAACATGGATCCTGCATTCCACCCTGATGCACAGAGGACACTGGGAAGTTCTCATAGGCACAGGGGCAGGCTTGGGATACTTTGGGGCACAAAATCTATTTGGGCTTTGACTTTTCCACCCTCCACATTCAGGTGGTGGTTAGCATTAATGCTGCTAGAGTGTAGAAAGGGAAGGGTTGTCCCAGCCTGGGATGGTGGTTTGTTAGAAGAGGAGCTCACTGGACTAGCAGTAGCCAAGAGCCATTCCAGGTCACCGTCATGCAGCCCAGGGACAAATTGATAGAAACAAATATTCCTAGGAGAATCCACTTGCACCTGCAGAAGCCCAGCCAATTGTAGGACTCATTGCTTCTTGAAGCCCATTGGTCTGGGATTTAATTTGTCCTGCCCAGGGCTGGGTGCTGTGCTCATACCTATAATTCCAGCACTCAGGTCATGGAGGGTAGAGGATCAGAATCCCTCAGCTACATAGTGAGGTTGAGGCAGTCTAGGTTACATCAGACTTTGTCCCATAAACAAAATAAAACAGTAAAAGAAATGGCCAAAGACTATACAACAGCCGTCCCAGGACCCTTTATGAAAATGTTTCCTCATTGAAGGAGACCCTTAACTTTCATTGGCATGAAATTATGCTAAGTGACAGAAACTGCTCCCCAGAGGATGAACACTGTATACTGTTAATCGCATGAGATTCTGCAGCCATCATGGTCACAGAGACAGCAATGAGAACGGTGGTTGCCAGGGACTGGTAGGAAAACAGACTGAGGAGTGATTGAGAAGTACAGAGTTTTAGTTTTTATTTGGGGTTTGTTTTTATCTTTTGCTTAGTTTTTTTTTGTGAGAGAGCCTCACTGTATTGTACAAATTGGTCTCAAATTCATGAACTGAAATTCCTCCTGTCTCAGCTGACCAAGGAGCGATAACTACAGACGTGTGTGTAATGGTCCAGCTCCAGAGTTATAAGTTTGCAAGATGAAAAGACACTAGAGATGGTTGTACAACATTGTGAATGTACTTAATGTAATTGAACTATATCCTTAAAATATTTCAAATGGCAATTTCCATATTATGTATGCTTTACCATAAGAAACAGGACTGAAAACTGATCCTACCTCCCACCAACATATGTGAATATAAATGAATATACTATAAATTCTGGTGATGGTGATATTTTAGTGCAAGTGCACCTGTTGTAGTAAATACACCGCCATGTGGGATATTGATAATGAAAAAGCTGACACATGGGGGCAGGAAACAGGGGAAACCTTTGAACCTATCATTAATTTTGCCGTCACTCTAAGATTCCTCTTGGGACTAGATATATAGCTCACTTATTCAGTGCTTGCTTAGAATGTGTGAAGTCCTGGGCTCAATCTTGAGCACCACAAAAAGTACTCATGGGTAAATCAGCTCTTAACATCCAAGCTTGGTGCTCTTGAAATTGCTCTGTGTGTAAAAATGCTTGCCACACAAACATAATCAGAATTTGATTGTCAGAACCAACCAATGGTTGAAGCAGAGAACAGACTCCAGAAAATTATCCTCTTACACACACACACACACACACACACACACACACACACACACACACACGTGCATGTGCGTGTAGAGGTCATAATCAAAACTAAAATTTAAAAAATTAAAAATATAGCTGTGGTGGGGATATAGCTCAGTAGATATATCCAGGCATGCACAAAGCCCTGACTTCAATCCCCAACATGATGTAAAACCAGGTAATTCTAACATTGGAAGGTAGAGGATCAGAAATTCAAGTTCATCCTCAGCTACACAGCAAGTCTGAGACGAACGTATATGAAACTCTATCTTCAAAACAAACAACACACCAAGCTGGCGCAGTGGTTCATGCCTGTAGTTCCAGTGTTCACATCAATCTCTGCTCTGCTCTAAGTTACTTTATATTGTATAAAACACCAGTTTCTTGTATTGTATAAAACACCTTGTCCTGGGAGGCTCGGTTATACAAGTCCCTTTTGCTCTGCACTTTGTTGTGTATGTCAACAGTACCATCTGTCCTGCAACATCCAGGAGGTACACAGTGTTCGTTCATTCCTAAAAGTAAAAAGGGTGCCAGCCGACAAATTTATCAAAGTACAATGAGATCATATGAGGACATGTGCATATTACAATCATATTGGGAAAACCAGGCCTGAGGGCTTATCAAATTCACCAGACCAAGGTCAGGATGTAATGCTCTCACTGGGACCCCATAAAGAGGAGGATAGTTAACACTCCAATGGAAACCCATCTTCCTTCATATCTGTCATCTCATCCCCCAGTGTGTGTTTCAAAAAACTGACAGGGGAGACAGAGAGATGTCTCAGTGGGTAAGACACTTTCTTAGCAAGCCTTATGACCATCTTTGTGAGGTCATTGATGAAGCACTCCTCAATGCAGAAGTAGATACCTGTTATGCCATGGCAGAAGCCCAAATAGTAAATGAGACTTTTGGCCCATTATCCTAATTTGTTTTTTTATTTATACACCTTACCTCTTCTGCCTAGGTTCTTTATGTTTTAACGAAAAACTTACAATCATATTTAATGAAATTTTAGTATAAGAAATAATAAATGTTCATTTTGTACTACTGTTTAATGTGACCTATTTGCTTTAACTATTTTGGCCAGGATTCCTGGGACATTAAGTCTATATTTTGGGACTACAGAAATTACAAATGTCAAGTTCACTGATTTTACTCATGATTTACGTCATATTTAGGTGTCCGCGGTGATCGTAAGACCTATCTTGCTTTTGCATCAAGAGTTTCACTCCTCTAACTAGGAAGATGCAACGCCCCAGCCACAGACAGATGACCTCTTTCTCTTGCTGTGATAAAACCATGACCAAATCAGCCTGGGGAGAAACAGGATTGATTTGGCTTACAGCTCACAGTCCGTCCTCGGGGGAAGCCAAAACAGGAACTCAAGGCGGGAACTGAAGCAAAGACCACGGAGAGATGGTGCTTACTGCCCTGCTTCCCATGGCCTGCTCAGATACTTTTTTTATACAGCCCAGGCCTGCCTGCCCAGCAATGGAACCGCTCACTCTGGACTGGGTCCTCCTGCAGCAATTACCAATAAAGAAGATGCCTCACAGACATGCCCAGTGGCAAATCTGATGGAGGAAATTCCTCAAATACAGGTTCCCTCTTCCCAGGTGATTTGGTTTGTGCCAAGTTGACATAAACTAACCTGAATACCTGTTTAATACATTCATCGCCCTTCATTTCGGGGAGTGATTGCCTCCCTTGGAAACGAACCCCATGCTCTCTTTGCTGCAAATAATAAATTTGTCTCCATTGTTTTGTTTTGGCTGTGTTTATTTTGGTTTAGATTCATCAAGATGTGAACCAGATAATTCAGTTATAGACTGATGACTTCAGTTCAAACCCCAGAACCCACTCAAAGATGGAAGGAGAGAACTGAACCTACAAGGTTGTCTTCTGGCCTCCACACAAAGACTGTGGCTTGCATACCAACACATATATGCATGCACACATCATCATCATAATAAATAAATACTAAAATTAAAGGAGGCGATGGACAGTGAAATCCTGACTGTCCCAGGGGCTTCAGTGTGGCTCAGTACCCACTGCCGAAGCCTCTTATTGTATTGCCACCTGCCCATCTGATTGTCCATTGGACTAGTTCTGTACCTCACCTCTATGGCCTCCCTTTGCTTGGGTGTCTCAACTTTGCAGGCTTGACTCTGCAGCTGGACCTGCATCAGGTTTATTATCTAACTCTCACATCTCTAGCGGCTCTCAGCTTGCCTCCAGTCCTCTTTGAATTCCTTGAATTCTACTGCAAACTCACTCTTTTAGATATTCAGATACTTAGATATATGGATGGATGGATAGATGAACAGATAGATAGATGATATATAAATAGATGATAGATATGTGGATAGAAAGACAGATAGATCTGTGTGGTGTGTAATGTGTGATCTGAGACTTATTAATAGTAATTAAAGCTAGAATCAAATAGTCTGCCAGCAATCAGCTCTCAAGGGAAATTGGAACTACTGGAAAACTACAACCAAAGAAGCGAATGTAGATTGTGAACTTATTGTCATCCAATAAATTCTAATCTTGTGGAAAGTTGAGAAGCTGCCTGTCTATCATCTGAAGTAGTGCATACATCACATCCAGCGTACTGGGGACACTGAGGCAGCAGGATCACTTGAGCCCATGAGTTGAGGACAGTGAAAACATAACAAAATTCTGTCTCAAAACCAAACAAAAAACTGAAACAGAATCACTGAAGGAAGGGATCTTGAAAGAGAATAGCTGCTCTCAGAGACGGACACACCCACCCCTCTGGATTAGACTTACTTGTTGCAGCACTGAATTGAATCTTTTGTACAAAAACACGTCTCACAGTTCTTCTCCCAACTGGAGTCGATGGGATGTTTATCACCATCAGCATCCTTGCAGTCTGAAACAATGCACGTGGCAGTTATCAGTGGAGTCGCCAAGTCATACACACAAAAAAGCTTATCAGGACATTGAGCCCAGCCCATGGCATGTGACAGTAGGTAATTTTAAAGGTGTCAGACAGTGATTCTTTTTCACCATGGCTAAATTCTAGCACTGTGCAGTTCAGGCCACTGGTAACACTTCTTATAGAAATGTTAACACCACTAGCTTTCATTTCAGACGAGGCCTTTCCCTCTAATCTAGTAGCTCAAACTAGAAGCCCAACTTGTTCCTCTTGGATTACCTCTGAATAAATATCTCATTTCTCCACTTTCTTTTCTTTGTGTTGGCAGTTCTCAGTCATGGGTTCTCATGTGAAACATCATTGGCACTGAAAATCCACCCACAGATTGGGAATATAGCTTAGTAGTAATTAGAATACACAAAGCCCTAGGTTCAATCTCAGCACCAAAATAAACAAACAAAAGCTTGCTCTACCCCAGGTCAATGAAATCAGAATCTCTGGGTGTGAGACCCATTTTTAAAATTTTTTATTTACTTATTTTATTTGAGGGATCACATGTATCCCAGGCTGGTCTCAGTTTCCCTATGCAGCTGTGGATGGCCTTAAATTTCTGAACTGCTTGCCTCCTCCTTCCCAAGTACAGGGATTACAAGTAAATACCACACTTGATTTATGCGGTGATGGGGATTGAACCAGGGCTTCCTACACATTAAATGAGTACTCTAGAAAATGAGCCACATCTGCAGCCCACTGACTTAGGTTTTAACAACTCCCTGGGAGATTCAAATGTTCACCCAGGGTTGAGAACTGCTGCCTCAGGTCTCTGTGGTCCAGGGGTACTTAAAGGACAACAGTGTCAGCATTACCTGGAGCTGCACTGAACTTTGGACTTTCATCCCTGCCACCAGATACACTGAATCAAAGCACATGTTTTGTGCTAAGGGTGTAACTCAATGGTAAAGTGCTTGAAGGCATCTGTGAAGCCATGGGTCCATCCCCAGCTCCCTCAACATACACTATTCTACATTTAAACAAGATTACTGACAGAAATAGGCATGCACACTAACGTTGGAATACTGCTTCTTAACCCTGGCTGTATGGGAGTGTCATAGAGCTTTGACTGTGCAGTGCCAGACCTAGAGATTCTGATTCATCTGGTCTTAAATGGGACCTGAACCTGGCCTGGCAAATCTCAAAGCTCCCTGGGCAATCTCATCCAGCTAAAACTGAAAATGACCTTGCTAAAATGGAAGCCTCTCATTTGACTCCACATTTATGTCTTCTCTTCCCTTTGTAGATACAAAGGTTTCCATTTGCCAAGACGTCATATCTGTCAGGCTGCAGTGAGATTAAAATGCTGTAAAACCATCACTTACCATCAGATGTCTGGTCTGGAAGTCTCTCAAGAAGTTGTACATAGCATTGTGCATTACATGAAGTCACCAAGGAGGCGAGGACCACAAGGCAACCCAGAAGAACTTTCTGTAATACAAGGGAGGTCAGGGTGTTGAGGTACACTCCCTCCATCCCTAACCTCTCCATGACTTTTGTCATAAAGGCATGCATGTTGGATTTTGTCAAAGGTCTTTTCTGCATCTAATGAGATGATCCTGTGGTTTCTGTCTTGAGTCTTTATGTTTTGGATACCATTTATTGATTTACCTGTCCTAAACTGTTCCTGCATCTTTGGAATGAGGCCAGTTTGGTTATGATGAATGATCTTTTTGATCTGACCTTGAATTCAGATTTTCAGTATTTTTTTGAGAATTTTTGAATCTTTGTTCATCAGGGAGATCAGCCTATAGATTTCTTTGGTGGTTGTCATTTATCTGATTTTGGTACCAGGCCAATAGCTGCTTCATAAAAAGTGTTTGAAGTCCCCCTTTTCTACTTTGTGGAACAACTTGAGCAGGATTGGTGTTAATTCTTTGAAGTTCTGATAGAATTCTGTGGTCAATACATCTGGTCCTTTTGGGCATTTTTTCAGTTGGGAGTTTTTTTGGTTTTTTGTTTTTTACTGCTTCAATCTCATTGCTGGTTATGTATCTGTTTAATTTATTTCATCTTGGTTTAATTTTGTTATGTTATATACATCTAGAAATTCATTCATCTCTTTTAGCCAATTTAGTGAAATAGAGTTTTTTAAGGTATGTCGTTAAGATTTTTTTTAAAAGGTTTTCTTTCTTTTTTAAAATTTTATTTATTATTTTTCTTTTATGTGTATGAGTGTATATTGCCTGCATGTATGTGAGTGCACCCATGTTGTGCAATGCGGTGGAGGTCAGAAGAGGGCTTCGGATTCCCCTGGAACTGGAGTTAAGGATGGTTTGTAGCCACCATGTGGGTGCTGGGAATCGAACCTGGGTCCTCTGCAAGAGCAGTCAATGCTCTTAACCGCTGAGCCATCTCTCCAGCCCCTGTCCTTCAGATTTTTAAAATTTCATTAGTATTTGTGGAAATGTCTCTGTCTTCATTTCTAATTTTATTTATTTGGGTCTTCTTTCTCCTTAAGCTAACTTGACTACAGGTTGTTCAGTCCTGTTTATTGAAGAACCAACTTTTCATTTCATTGATTGATTCTTTGTATTGTTTTTTTTTTCATTTCTAGTACATTAATTTCAACACTGATTTTGATCTTCTCTTTCTAGCTACTGTTTTTGGATAGTTTTTGTTCTTGTTTTTCCTAGGCTTTAAGGTGCATCATCAATTTATTGATTTTGGGTCCCTTAAATTTTTTATGTAGGCCCTTAGCATTTTTCTCTTAGGCCTGCCTTCACTGAGTTGATTGGAGGCATGACGAAACACAGATTAGCATCAGGGCAAACCAAAGACCAAGAGGCTAAGAACTTCAGGTGTTTACATTGGGAGACTTTGTCGAGACACTTGCCTGTGACAGCACTGTCAGTGCTAGACTCCCCTCTGGTCTGAAGAGGGTCTGGACTCCCACAGCCCCAATGTGTAACTGGCCCTCAGCCAACATGGAGAACAAGAATGTGGAGCTAAGCCAGTGACAAGTTGTTCTCCAGTTCTGCCCTAAATACCGAGAAGTAAACATCAATCTTAGATGTCCCTCCACCTTTCAGAATCAATGGAAGTGCGTGTTTCTTGGAGACACCAGACATTCCACATTTTTCAGAAATGTTGAGGTCCCATTTGGCATCTGCCAAGGAACCCAGGCAGAAGGTAGATAGAATCAGAGTTCAGTATGTTACTAGTGTCAGATGCTCTTTCCAACAAATTCCCATTTCTTCCAAGATTTACTATCACAGTGTCATCTAGACACTCTGATAGACCAGAGTGTGTTCAAATCAATGTGTTCTAGATCAGACTGTGTTCAAATTAACCAGTCTCTGTCTCTGTCTCTCTGTCTATATGTGTGTGGGGATGCTCATGTGGGCACACATGTGCGTGGGTGTGTATGCATGCAGAGGGCAACAGTCAACCTGAGGTGTTGCTCCTCAGGATCCATCCATTTTATGTTCTGGGACAGGCCAGTTAGAATAGTTTGGCCATCTAGTGAGCCCCAGAGATCAGCCTGTCTCTGCCCTATCAGCACAGGGATTAAAAGAGTGTGCCACCACAGAAGGCATTTTTTAAAAATTGTGTTTATTACTTTTATGTGTACGTATGTATTGCCTGCATGTAGGTAAGTGCACCCATGTCATGCAGTGCCTGCGGAGGTCAGAAGAGGTTTCTGGGTATTGAACGCAGGTCCTCGTGATTGCAGGGCAAGCTCTTTACTGACTGAACTATCGTCAAAGCCTCAAATCTTGAAATTACTACTCACTAGCAAAAGTCTTTGGGGAAGGTCTTTGAACCCTAGGCTTTATTTCATCTTCTGGAAGATAAGAAAAAAACAGTACTGGAAAATATTGGACATGTTGTATGTACCACATCAGATTCTCCCTGGCATTGATCATCCACATGCTCAGAGTTGCTGTCTCTTCCCACCATATTTGAAGGAGTGCCCTCCCACAGGTCTTGTCTTTCTATGTTGCCACAGCAACATGAACTTGTGGGCAGAAAATACTCATAGGGTAAAATTTGGCTAATGGACAAATAGGAGCTAGGAGAAAGCTCGGCAGAGAAATTCTGCCTTCTCTCCCTCCGATGAACTGCTGCACAATATTATTTCTCCCCAGTGGCATAGCTTGTGGAATTAAATCCATCTGTGCCTCTCCAAGGCTGGTCTGGAAACAATGCCAGTTTAGAAATGTACTGCCTCGGGTTCTGACCTCCATCGGTGGAGTGGCTGTGATCTCAGCAGACCTCCAGAGAGTGCCTGTTCTGGCCTCCCTCTGGCATAGGGGCTGAGAACACAGGGGACCACCTGAGAGCCCCCGGATCCTGCCTCCACATGGTGATGAGTTGTGCAATTTGGGAGTCTTTTAGATAGACCCACTGAAGGCGTACCCCAATTGCCTCACCCTGCGTCCCTGTTCAGCATGGAAGAAGCCAGAGTGCCTGTGTCCTCATTCCCTATCCAGGGCAAGTTGGGTAACCTCTTCAGAGGATGGTGTGATAAGAATAGGAGGTAGGAATTGGCTAGGCAGTTAAGGCAAAAAGACCCCAAAGAAATGTGGCCAGTTTCTTCGCTAAAAGTCAAAATGTCCTTGGGACTCTTAGCAACATACTCCATTCTAAAGGCCAAAAATGTCAAAAGTTTGGGAGTGCTTATCTAATCCCTAAAAGATTTTAGGGTTACTTCTTTGCGGGGGGAATGTTAGAGTAACAAAAAGCCCCATTTAAAAAAAAAGAAGAGTACATGAAGTCAGAAAAACGTGATGGGGAGATATGGGAGGAGTTGGGGGGAGGGAGTGGGCATGGACTTGATCAAAACACCTTATATGCGTGTATGAAATTCTTAATAAATTATTAAGAAAAGAGAAATGCATTGTCTCACATTAGCCACCATTCTGCCTAATCGCATTGCACTCCTAATACCTTGGATTTGAACTTCCCAAATAAAATGTAAGTATTTAGTTCTTGTTTGAGGCTCTATTTCCTAAGTGACTTGGGGAGTACAAGAAAAGGAAAACTAAAACTGAGAAGAACAAACTCCACAGTAACATCTCGTAACCCACAGCCTGTGTCACCAATCACAGATTTTCATTTATTATTTATTTTCATGACAGTCATTCACTAAGTAGCTCAAGCCAACCTTGAACTCACTGTATCACCCAACCCAGCCTCACATTTGCAGCAGTCACTCTGCCTTAGCCTCCTGAGTTCTGAAATTACAAGTATAATCCCCACATCTGACTTCAGGTTGTACATATTAAGGAACCAATGTTGCCATGTTCTCCCAGCCATTGGGGGAGAATGACTGTCCTGTGAAGTCATCTGGGTAGTGTAGTTCTCCATTCTGGACTCAGCAGCCCATTTTACTGAACAGCAAGCTTATAGAAAGGGACTTTGCTAGGCAATGAAATGGCAAACTCAGGACCTCAGCCAGGATCTTTGCAACATGGAGTTCACATCTTCACTTCTAAGACTTAACCTTAAGAAGAACAGCACAGGGGCTGGAGAGATGGCTCAGCAGTTAAGAACACTGGTTGTTCTTGCAGAAGATCCGGGTTCAAATCCCAGCATCCACATGGCAGCTAACAACTGTCCAGTCCCAGGAGATCTGACAGCCTCTTCTGACCTCTGTGGGCATTGCACGACACAGGTGCACTTACCTACATGCAGGCAGTACATGAATACACATAAAATAAAACCATAAAATGCCCAGGAACAGAACTGAGAACAGAGTGACAATAAATAAATAATAAATAAATAAATAAATAAATAAATAAATAACAAAAAAACTAGGCAACTTAAGGTAAGAGAAGGAGAAAAAGCATGAGCAAGACAGATTACATAGTAAGAGAGTCACAGCAGTCTACACTATAGCCCAGGGCCTGCAATATGTATAACATAAAGGGAGATGCTTACAAACAGATGCAGCAGGGTGCCCTGCAGGGGAGAGGCTGCAACTGCTGTGACATAGAGAAGGAAGCTCAGAATCAGACTGAAGGGTGTGGGCCAAGTTTTACCAAGACTTTTTTTGTGTGCTTGTTTTTGTTCCATTGGACTGTCCAGCTATGTCGCCAGGTTGGCCTAGAAGTCACTATGTAGCACAGGCTAGTTTTGAACTCCAGGCAATCCTCTTGCTTCAGCCTCTGAAGTGCTGGAATTATAGACTTACATTTTGGGATAGTGTGACAATAACTACTTTCTTCTTTGGACTTTTCTTCTTTTTTTCAAAATATTTTACTTATTATTTTTACTTTATGTGTATGAGTATATTGCCTGCATGTATATGAGTGCACCCATGTTGTGCAATGCCTATGGAGGTCAGAAGAGGGCTTCCGATTCCCCTGGAACTGGAGTTAAGGACGGTTCATAGCAGCCATGTGGGTGCTGGAACTCGAACCCCAGGTCCTCTGCAAGAGCAGTCAGTGCTCTTAACCGCTGAGCCATCTCTCTAGCCCCCCTTTTTTTCCTACAGTGAAATACACTGAATCTAAAACTATAGAGAAATAAATTTTTCAAAGAACCAAAGAAAGAAAGAAAGGAAAGAAAGAAGGGAGGGAGGGGAGGGGAGGAAGGAAGGAAGGAAGGAAGGAAGGAAGGAAGGAAGGAAGGAAAAAAATCCTTCAGGGGCTGGAGAGATGGCTCAAAGTTTAAGAGCACAGGCTGCTCTTGCGGAGGACCCCGGTCTGGTTCCCAGTACCCACAAGGCAGCTAACAATCACTGTTAACTCCAGTTCCCGGGGGATCTGACACCCTCTTCTGATCTCTGTGGGCATTACATGACATGGGTGAACTTACATACATTCAGGCAATACACATATACACATAAAATAAAGCATAATAATAAATGAAATATTTTTTAAAATTAAAAAATAAAACAGCCTCCATACATTTAACACACACCTGGACTTGGAAATTTTTTGTTCTTTACTTTGCTTCATTCCTCCCCACCCCCCAAATTTTTCTCAATTGCAATAGAAAGCTCTATACAGTTTTCCCTTAGACATAAAGAAAACTTCTTGGTCCTGGGGTCATCATGGAAAGTCCACAGTCCTGTTTCACTGAGTCGCAGAACAAAATAATCAAGAATCTAGGGCTGTGAGCTGTGCAGAATTCTCCAGCTGTCCACAGCTCTGGGGAAGACTGAGCCACTGGGGATGAACTCCAAATATGGTGACAGGGAAAAGAAGGACTTGTATTTGAGTAGCTCTCCCCACCATCTCTCTCCCCCATCTCTCTCTCTCTCTCTCTCTTTCCTTTCTTCCCTTGTGAAAGGAGGGGTTCTTCCTTGGGATGGGAAGTCATCTGAATTTTCCAGGGAACTAATAAAGAATACACAATCTCGAGGTCATTGACAACGGACAGGACCAAGGAAAATGATCCAAACCAGATGCTCACTGATGCTTTAATGACCATATGAACCCAGAGAGACCTTGTTCAAGAACACGCTTGAAGATTCTGCTTCAGTGGGTCTTCAGGCTCATGATCGTAGCTCCCAGCTGACGCCGATAACCTAGTCTAAGGACCACTCCTAAGCAGAAAGGTTCCAAAGTCTCCCTCTCCCCTGCATTCCATTCTGTCTTGCCTCTTCCTGTCTTTCTTCCCTGCATTCAATAGCCATGCAGCCCCATGCAGGCGCATGCAAGAGGATAAAACTGGCATTGCTAGGGATTTCTAGGTAGCGTGGCTTACTACATATTTTGGATGGAAGCCTACTAGCAGTTGCCCCTTAGGATTGTGTCTCCTTTGTTTAAGCAGCTGCTCATGGAAGGAAGGGCTCTGCTGTCTATAACCAAAGATCAGAGTCTTCAGAATCTTGAGCAGGGATGGAGTGCTGACAGCTCTGCAGCTAATTATGTTGACTTCCAAGCAGCATGGAACATGGATGAGAGGAGAGGCCTGAGTGGACGGGGTGAGAACATCACCACAGTTATTCTGTCTGAGAAGGCTTTCAGAAAGCACACTTGTCTTGAGGTGAGCTGAGCACCTTCAGAGCCCCTGTCTGCCCACATGTAGCTCTTCCCTCTAGCTAGCTGTTCCTTCTTCTTTTCCTTTGCAGCCCTCAGGGATGCTCCATTCATTCCCTGCTTCTAACTCTCGGAAAGGATATAGTGTAAGAAGATCCATTTTCAATTAGACAGAGAAGAGTCCTACATGGGTTTTATAACTTTTTCCTTCCCTATTTGGTTTTTCACATATGAAGACCAGACCGGCTTCAAACTCATAATTCACCTGCCTCAGCTTCCCGGGTGCTTGGATTATTGCTGTGTGCCACCACATCTAGTACAACTCTTTAAAAAAACCTTCCAGTGCCATGATTGAACCAGAGTCTTGTGCATTCTAGGCAGGTATCTGTCGCTGAGCTGTATCCCTGGCTCTCTTTATTCCTTTTAAATTTGAGACAAGATCTTACTAAGCTACCCAAGTTGAACTTGAAATCACTGTGTACCCTAGGCAATCCTCCAGTCTCAATCTCCCAGGTAGCTGAGGCCTCCAGTCTCAGGTGTAGGATTCTTTCTAAATATAACATGATATAGTAAAAGGGTCTGGGGAGATGGTTCTCAAACCATTACACGTAAATTAAATGTAACCGGAGAACTTTCAGAACTCCTGCTGCCCGTCCTGATTGCAGACCAACTATTTCAACCTATGGCTAAGGAGCCAGTGTCAGTATATTTCAAGTTGTTGATTCCACTAAACAGCCCAGTGTGGAAGCCCCTGGCTTAGACAAAGGGATTCTTAGAGTCTTGTACCAGCTGTCCCTGGTTTAGGTGGGAGCCCTGTGGCATTTCCTCCCCTGCCTGGTGCAGTTCTGTGGCTGTAAATTGATGCATTAAATAAAGCTCTGAAATCACCCTTGATTTTGTAGATCTCTTTGTAGGCCTAAGATCTAAATCTATGTCTAAACATATCTAACACATCACTGTACCCTCAGGTTACTGGAATGAATAAAATTCTATGTCTTAGACAACATAAATAGTACTGAACTCATTAAGATTTTCCCAGATTTTCATTTTTCCCCTCCCAGTAAATTGCAAGTAATATATTGAAGATTCAAAACCAAGTTGCATCTCCATTAATTGCTGTCCAGTAGAAACACACATTATAGCACATTAAACTAATTTTCTGTCCTTTATATATGTAATCAGTTACCTACCATTGTGATAAGTGGACTCCTTACAGGCAAGTTCCTCCAGGAAGTCTCAGCAAGCATGAGTTCCACATCCACATTTATACAGGCAAGAGTAACCACACATTTGATATCCTTGGGAAAATAATATGCCATGGGCACACTAAGTATTTACTGAAGGTTGATTATCAACAGGAAATTATAACCTCCAATGATTATCAGTTTTTCAGGTGACAGGTGTCCACCCTAACTGTGTGTTTATCTTTCCCTATCTTTGATATGCTGTTACCCTTGGTCTGGAGATCTAGAGGGAAAGAATTTTCCCTCATGAATGTTCACTCTATACTGTGTTGATTGCTAGATAAATGTTCTTTCATGATTCACACACAAAGACACGTAGGCGCAAGAATATGAATCACAACAGCCAAATGCTGAAGCTGGGGTCTGTGATGATATAAGATTAACCCTGTCAGGTCAGCCTGACAGGCCAGCAAGCCCTGGAACTGAGGCCCAGAAGACACTGCCCTTAGGCTGCTGTATGTGAAAGCAGAAACACACCTAGCCATCTGCCATGGTGTGGGAGCACAGCACCCACTAGCCTAGGTTTCCCTTGACAAGCCACAAGACTCAAACCACTTTAAGTTCTAAACATTCTCCTAAAATCTTTAGTCTATACTCTGCTTCCTCAAGAAAGCTTTCCTTCTTGTTCAAGAATGATCTCCCTCATGGAAAACAGTATTGAGTTTCCTTAAAAAAAAATAAGACTACCATATGAGCCAGAAATTCCACCCTGGGAGACATCTGCACCCCTGTGTTTACTGCAGCACTAGTTACAAATGCCAAGTCATGATATCCACCTGTGTCCAGAAACTGATGAATTAAGAAATATGCAGCCATCTGGCATGGTGGTGTGATGAATGCCTTTAATCCCAGCACTCAGCAGGCAGAGGCAGGTGGATCTCTGTGAGATGGAGGACAGCCTGGTCTACATAATGAGATTCAGGCCAGCTGGAGCTACAGGGAGACCCCATCTCAAAAAAGCTGAAGGGAAAAAAAAGAAGAAAGGAAAGAAGGGAGGGAGGGAAGGAGGGAGGGAGGGAGAGAGGGAGTGAGGAAGGAAGGAAGGGAAGGAGGGAGTGAGGAAGGGAGGGAGGGAGGAAGGGAGGAAGGGAGGAAGGGAAGGAGGAAGGAAGGAAGGAAGGAAGGAAGGAAGGGAGGGAGGGAGGAAGGAAGGAAGGAAGGAAGGAAGGAAGGAAGGAAGGAAGGAAGGAAACTGTATCCACAAAAGGGTGAAATTCTGGACTGGGGATATAGCTTAGTTGGCAAAGTATTTGTCTAAGCACGTCCAAAACCCTGGGTGGACCTGCAGTACTGCATAAAAGTGGGCACATTGGTATGTGTCTAGGGCAGTAGCTCAGCCTGTAAGGTGCTTGACTTGCAGCATGAGGATCTTCTGTAAAATTCAGTGTACTGTGATGCATACTTGTAATCCCAGCATTGGGGAAGCTGAAACAGATGGATATTGGTGCTCACTGCCAGCCAGCCCAGACCAGTGACAACTTTTGCCTCAAAATTCAAGGTAGATAGTGCCTAAGAAATCATACCTTAAGCTGACTTTTGGCCTCCACATACACACGCACACACACACACACACACACACACACACCAAAACAAAACAAAACAAAAAACGATCATTGTGGTATATCCCTATAATGCCAGCACTCAGGATGTGGAGGCAGGAGGATTAAATATTTAAACAATGTAAACATGTTAAAACATCACATGGAGACTCTTAAGTAGACACTCCCAGAGCCCCTCCCTGAGTCCCCCACCCTCTGTGCTACCAAAATGGCTTGGCACTTGTGACCCTGAGTCTAGGTATAGACATTCCCAGAGCTTTTCCCTGAATCTGCCTTCCTCCAAGGCACGAGCACCACATGGCTGGAGGCAACAGGTGGCTCCTGAACCCTGACTCCAGGTAGACACTCCCAGAACCCTTCCTCCCCATCTTCTGTACCACCAGATTTGCAGGCACTTGGGCACTGAGTCTAGGTTGACACTCCAAGAGTCTTCTCCTAAGTCCACCACTGCACTTCCAGGATCTCTTGGCTCCTTCAACTCCAACTCTAGGTAGACATGCCCAGAGCCCTTCCCTTTGCTGCCAGGACTTCATAGCTCTCACTTGACTACGTAGGCACTCCCAGAGCCCTTCTTCCTGTTAGGTAAATACTCTCAGTGCCAGTTGCTACCCACCCCCAACCACCCTACTCACCATGTTGCCTGGAGAACCAGAGTCATCCTGGGATCTCTGCCCATAGTAGAGATCTCTATCCTGGCCTCTGTACCATCCACATATACCTGAGATCTGTGTGACATCTTGTAACTGGCCTCTAGGTAATACTGCTCATTTCTGCTGTGATTTCCCCCTCTCCAACCCCTGGCAACCAAGGACCACCTGTAGAACTGGGTGAGCCTTTCATACATATCTGAAGATTGGCAGTAAGAGTCTTCTAACTCTAGAGAAGGTTGAGTTCTGGGCTGAGAAGTGTACAGACCCCTAGTTGTGCTGGAAACACTTGTGATTTCCCCATTCATGCATTAACACAGGCCTCAAAACTTGACTCTAAGCACCAGTATGGTGCTGGTCTACACATGCTGGGGTAACAGCAAACAAAGACGAAACACCCTCTCAACAAAGGTGAGAACAGATACCCATACCAAGAAACACCACCAATGGCACAACCCCTGATGCCTAGGCCACATCCCAAAACACAAACAGCATGAATAATCAAGATATGTTACATCCAGAAGTCAGTACCCCTGTCACAATGTCCTCTGATAAAAGCAATAATTTAGCTGATGCACATTATAATGATATCAATCACAATTACAAATGTGTTCAAGGAACTCAAAGAGGACATGCATAAACTCTGAATGAAGAACACAAAAACACAAACAGTTGAATGAAATAAAGAAAACAAGATTTGAAAATAGAATTTAATAAATAGAACATGTGAAAAGAAACCAAGCTGAAATAATACTTAAAATGAGAAACTCAGTGAAATAAAAAGAAAACTCAGTAGAAAATCTCACCAGTATAATAGATAAAATGGAAGAGGAAACAGCAAGACAAAGACAAGGTAAATGGATTGGATCATTTAGTCAAAGAAGATTTGAATCTTAGATCAGACACTTCTTCTGACCTTTATAGGCATTGCACAATAGGGGTGCACTTACACACATGTAGGCAATATACTCATACACATAAATATAATAAAATATTTTTAAAAATAAGAACAGAACTTACATCAACTATGGAACACTATCAAAAGACCAAATCTGTTAATCATAGGTAAAAAGGAAGGTCTAAGGCTCAGAAAATATTTCCAACCAAATCTTAAAAGAAAACGTCTAAGATCTAAGGAAAGAAACGCCTGCCAAGGTGCAAGGGGCATGTAGAACACCAAATAGAACCAGAAAAGGAACTACCCACATCACATGATAATCAAAATATTAAATAGGCAGGACAAAGAAAGGATATTGAAAGCTTCAAGAGAGAAAAGTCAAATCACATATCAAAGCAGGCCCATCATAAAAGCACCCAACTTTTCAATGAAAACTTTGAAAACCAGGAGGACCAGGACTAATGTTCCACAAGTTCTTACAAATATCATCCCAAGCTATTACACCCATCAAAAGTATCAGTGATGACTGAAGGAGAAAGAAAAAATTTCCATGATAATAGATTTACAAAATTTATAGCCACGAAACCAGCTTTACAGGGAATACTGGAAGGAAAACTTTGGTCAGAAGGAAAGATTAAACAGATCTAAGAAAAAAAACAAGGAATAAATAAATCATTCCAGATGGCTAATCAAAAGAGGTCTAAGAAAACACCACCACTCAACAAAGTAACAGGAATTAGAGCATATTGCTCATTAATAACCCTCATTACTGATAGGGCTCAGATCCAGGTGACCCCAGACCCAGAAACCATGAGGTTCCTAAGAGGAGCTGAGTCAACTGACTCCCAGCCACCTTCAAGTTAATAAAAGCAGCCCCTGAGAAGTTAATGACCAATGTATTATGATCACCAGAGCATGCCCCACAGGCTGACAAACAGGTTTCCCAAGCCCTTGCCTGCAATTGATTCCTGGAACCCTGTAATTGTAGAAAAACATGTTTTACAGTAGATGTTTTCCTCAATAAGTTTCACCAGGTACAGACCCTGTATTAGTCACTTTTCTGATGCTTTGATAGAAACACTGATCCGAGCAAATGAACTCCTTATAGAAAGGAGTTTATTTGAACTTATGGTTCCAGGGGAATTACAGTCCGTCATGGCAGG